GCTGCACATTCACCCAGAGGTCCAGCTACAAGTAGTGTTTGGACTCCAGAGTCCGAACATTTTAAATTGATTTATTTGAATTTTGCTTTACATCGTGGATACTTTTAAAAATAAGTGACAATTTTATAAAACAAATTTTATTTAGTAAAACAAAGTTTTCTCTATTAAAAAATCTCAACAGGAGAGAGAACTTCAGGAAATACCTTGTGTAAGATAGCTTGATTTAATCATTTCATGTAAAATATACATATGCCAAAATCTCATGTTCGTCATAATATGTGCAATTTTGTCAATTAAAAATAATTGTTAGGGCTGGAGAGATGGCTCAGTGGTTAAGAACACTGGTTGTTCTTGCAGAAGACCCAGGTTCAAATCCCAGCATCCACATGGCAGCTAACAGCTGTCCGTAACTCCAGTCCCAGGGGATCCGACAGCCTCTTCTGCCCTCCGCAGGCACTGCACAACATAGGTGCACTTACCTACATGTAGGCAATACATGCACACACATAAAATAAAAATAATAAATAAAATAAAAAAACAGTTGTTAAATAAGATGATCTCAAATGTTTTGTATAGAACTCATGTATGCAGGTGACTAATTTTAATCAGTTTGATGAGGGATAGCTGTCAGGATCTCTCTGCGAGCCTAAGGAATAAATGTAGATCAGATTTGGTTACACCAGGCGGCATGAAATTCAGAATGTGAAAGCTAAAGAAGACATGTTCCCCTCTGTCAAAGAAATACTTTCATGTCCACAAATAGATTTGCTTCCGGGAAGTTTGGCGTCCCGGGAGGTAGTGTGTCCTCCAGATCATTTCTTGAAGTGATTTATTATGTTTTGCTTTGTGTGGAAGGTAAATGGTTTGGACAAAGATGGCATGAACCTGTGCACTGGGTATTTAGTGTAAAGAGGCTGCCTGTGGCAGGCTCCTTGACCGTCACTCGGTACTACTCTCTGCCACATCGGCTGGAAACAGATCCTAGCAGAGGCTTCTCCACTGAAGGGAAATAGCCTGGTTAGCCGGGGAGCCCTTCAGTACAGCCAGCTTGAGTGCTGATGACAAGGTCTTCCAGCTCTTCCAGATCTTGTTTTCAATCTGTTTGTAGTTCTGTATTTTACTATTTTCTACATCTCTGTGCATTGCACAACCTTCTTTGTATTTACTGTTTATAATGATTCGTTTGAAGAGTGAATCTAACACAAGTTTCTGTTTCTTGTGATTGTCAGAGGTTAATTTCCATCAATTACTGCTGAGTAGGTGGGGAAAATGAGTAATAAATGACTCACTTAATGAATGACTGAGAGGGTACCTTTGTGTGCCTTCCCCAAATCAAAAGGAACAAGTGAGAAGCAGCCTTTAGTGTGCGTTCTCTGTTCTTTGGCTGTTACAGTTTTATAGTCTGACCCAGTGATATATTACAGAATCATGTTTATCAAATCAACAGGATATCCTGTAACTTGAACATTGATAAAATACCACATACTATAAAAGACGTTAAAAACTCTCAGTAGATATACTGATAGTCTTTCATTTATAATTTGTGTGTTATAAACATATTTTTGATTTACAGGTAAAAAAGTGTTTTATCCTGTGGTGTTCAGTCTGTACAATCCTGCCATCGTTTATGCCAACCAGGACATCCCACCCCCCGTGGAGCAGCAGCTGGTGAGACTTGTGTGTTGTTAGTCATGAAGGCTCAAGGATCTTTCTTAGTTTCCTTTATGCTTGCTGTGCAAGTAGAACATACAGTTTTAATAAAGTGTTCTTTTAAACACATTTCCATAGTTTCTTTTGCATCGCACCCCTAGTAAAATGCTTTCACTTTTATTACTTCAGAATTAAGTGGCAGAGGCAGGGAAACATGGAAGCCACGAGGAACTTCCTCATGTTCCAGAGTGTAGAAACTGCAGTCATTTCTGCCAACTTATTTTTAGTAATATTAAAACTAAAATTAATTTTCAAACTCCACTAACTAGAAAGTGAAACTGCTTTGCTAAAAACTACAAGATAATAATATGCTCTAAGAAATTGCATAGAAAGTCATGAAAGGCAAATGCCATGTACCAAGAATTAGAATTATTGCCTAAGCTGTACTTACATAAGCTTTTTAAGAAGTTTTAAGTAAGCTTACTATTTGAAATAATGTAGGTTCATAGAAAAGTTGTAAAGCTATTACATAGAGTTCCTCTACCTCATTCACCCAGTCTCCCCTAATGTTGGCAGTTTGTGTAACCATAATGAGTTTTTGAGAATTAAGAAAGTAGCATTTGTGGGTCAGTTTGTCTACTAATGTACTTTATATCTTCCAAGATACCAGATTGCATTTAGTATGAACTTTTATCTGAACAGTAAGAAAAAGTGGAAGCACATGAACTGAGAGGTCAATTTAATGAAAACCTCAAGGACACAAATAAGGCAGAAATTAATGAAGTAAAAATACAGTCGACAAAGGAGCTTATTGTTTAGTGCAAGGAAAAAAACCTTTTTTTTTTTTTTGGTTTTTTTGAAGGCAGGGTCTCCCTGTAGCCCCGGCTATCCTGGAACTCACTGTGTAGACCAGGCTGGCCTTGAACTCACAGAGATCCACCTGCCTCTGCCTCCCAAGTGCTGAGACTACAGGCGTGTGCCACCACGCCTGGCTGAAAAAAACCTTTTTTAAATCACATAGACACTCATTATTTTTTTTTAAAAAGGGACAATTCCAATATGTGGAAATTAGAATATGAAAAATTGTGATAAATCAGTTTTACATAGTAGGTTTTTAAAATAGTAAATAACAGCATAGTAGTGCATGCCTTTAATCTCAGCACTCGGGAGGCAGAGGCAAGTGGATCTCTGTGAGATGGAAGTCAGCCTGGTCTACATAGTGAGTTCCAGGCCAGTTGGGGCTACAGGGAGACCCTGTCTTTAAAAAAAAAAAAATTGATATAAAAATTGTAAATAAAAGGAAAGATTCGAAAAATATTAAGCTAAGTTCATGTTAGCTTTTAAATAAGTCTATTTTAAAAGATAAGCTCAGAGGAAACTAAGAGGATTTTTTAAAAATTAAAACAATTAGGAAAAATACCTTTTGTGTACACAATATGCTTTATTGATTAGTTTTTCCAGATTTCCAAATAATAAGTAAAATCAGTGCCTTCAAGTATTTCATGAAACCAGCATTGCCTTGATACTGATGCTTAGCATAATGTGTGCTCACACATACACACACATGCACATGCACGCACACATGCCCCCTTCCTTTTCCCTTATCTATAGACCAGTATTGCTTAGGAATATGTGTGTGTGTGTGTGTGTGTGTGTGTGTGTGTGTGTGTACACAAATAGAACCAAAATGACAGAGTACCCATACCCACCTTAATCTGATATCTTAAATCTTTTAAAAATGAGTTATTAGGGAAGGGGAACAGCCATTAATCAGGCCCATGCTTCTGTAAACAACCCTCTCCTATGCTCCTATAAGCAGCCCTAACAGAACTCACTGGATCACCCACACAGAAGAAAAGACATGAAAGTAGAGAGGGGACTAGTTGGGAAGAGGAGGGGGAATCAGTGCAAGTGGGAGGAGATAACAGGGTAAGGGAGTAAATATGATCCGATGCATTATATACATGTATGAAAATGCCATAATGCAGCCATTAATACATACAGTTAGTATATGTTATCAAAAACTTCAAAAGAGGGGCTGGAGAGATGGTTTAGTGGTTAAGAACACTGACTGTTCTTGCAGAAGACCCAGGATCAAATCCCAGCACCTACATGGCAGCTAACAACTGTCCATAACTCCAGTTCCAGGGGATCCAACAACCTCTTCTGTCCTCCGCAGGCATTGTACAATGCGGGTGTACTTACCTACATGCGTGCAATATACGCATTCACATAAGATTTTTTAAACTTCAAAATAAAATTAAGATTAAAGTTATGAATTATTAAAGATGGGTGTATTAGTATTACAAAGTAAGAGTAGCAGTTAGCACACAGGTTTTAAGAAGTTTATTTGGGGCAGGAGAGCTGGCTCAGTGGTTAGGAGCACTGCATGCTCTTGCAGAGGACCCAAGTTCAATTCCCAGCACCCACATGGTGGCTACGAACCGTCCTTAACTCCAGTTCAGGGGAATCCGGCGCTCTCTTCTGACCTTTACAGCATTGCACAGCACAGGTGCACTCATGTACATGCAGGCAATACACTTTTACACATAAAATAAAAATAAATAATAATTTAAAAAATAAAAGTAGGAATAAAATAACAGCTGAGGTTGTCCTCTAGCCTCCATATGTGTACCTGTACACACACACACACACACACACACACACACACACACACACACACACCCCAAAAGATTACCATCATAGATGGCCTGGGTACATGTTCTACTTGAGTTAAACTGAACTGATATGAACTGATTCAAATTAAATTAAGTTGAGCTGAAGTAAGAATAAATAAATAAGAAGCTTATAGAAGACAGCAGCGGTGATGGAAGAATGCTGGTGGAGGGCTGGCAAGGTGGCTCCGCAGGTAAAAGCACTTGTGGCAAGAGCCTGCTGAACCCAGTTCCATCCCTAGAGCCTACTGTGAAAGGAGATAACTGACCCCCTCAAGTTGTCCTCTGACCTCCACGTATGTCCTGTGGCATGTGTGCCTACACTCACACACGTACACACAGACACAACTGAGATAGCTTTGGCTACATAGTAAATTCTAGACTAGTCTCAGATAGTTAGGACCCCCACACACACAAAAAACACACAAAACAAGAATCAGAACTTAGAAAATTTGGGCGGGAGAGAACTCAGTGATTAAGAACATGTACTACTCTCCCAGAGGACCCAAGTTTAGTTCCCAGCACTCATACTGGATGGCTCACATGTTGGTGTCATTGACCTAGCAACCTCTTCTGGACTCTGAAGGCACCTCCACACACATGGGAGACACACACAAGTGTATACATAAAAAACAGAATTTTAAAAATCAGTAAATGGGCTAAGTAGAATGATCATAGATGATACAAATTTGTAACTAGATTGTAAGCTAACAGGGCACATAAAAGACAAGAGATAAAGTGTGATGGGGAAAAGTCTGTCCAGATGCTCCCAAATTTTAAGAGGCATTCTGTAAAGAAAAGAGAAGAATATGGAGGGAAATGTCACCTCCAGCAAAGGAAAGAGCCAGGCTTTGACAGCAGAGAAGGGACAACCCTGAGAGTTTCCAAGAAACTAAAAGCATAGTCCAGCATGCCCACAAGACAGTCAGGTGAACATGCATCTTTCTGATAGCACTGAAAACTGAACGGTTCCATGAAGATTCCAAAGAAAAATAGTGCTGATTCTGGTGTATATATTTTAGATGACATTTTTATTGTTTTAGATTTTTTTCTTTTCTTTTTGGGGGGACAGAGTCTTACTGTATAGCCCACGGCTGACCTCAGTCTTCCATGTATTGGCCATCACACGATGTACCACCTTGCCCAGCTAGATGACATTTTAATAATAGCTATTATTTATGTCTCTTCCTTTGCTGTGTGTATGGCACTGTTCCATTTTGCCTACACATTGACTAATTTAATCCTAACAGCTAACAACCTTTGTGGTAGACGTTATTACCCCCTTTGACAGATGAGAGCACACCTGTGCTGCTGTTGAGTATCTGCTGTGAAGTGACCAGGGTGGGTGGGGCCCAGGCAGTGGGCTTCAGTGTTCACTCTGCCCTGCACAGTCAGTCTCTGGTGTATCAGTCATCCAGTATTGAGAGTATATTCTATGCCGAGCACTTTATACCACAAAGCCCCCAGCACCCAAAGCACTGTGTTGCTCATAAGGATCTTTATTCTGGTAGAAGACAAAAAAATCAATCAAAAATAAATGTAATTAAAACAGACCACGTTGTGAAGACTGATAAGGTAGTTTCTGTGCTGTGTTTAGTCATAAAGGCCTGTCTGTGATGAGGCTGTTGATAGACACGGAGCAGCTGGAAGGAACCAGCTGAGCAGCGGCTAGGCTGAGGTGGCTCTAGGCAGAAGGAAGAGCTGCTGAGTCTCCTCAGGTGATCGCAGCACAGCTGGCAGAGCAGGGCCAGAACTGGGCAGGTCAGACAGCGTGGGAAACCTCTAGGAGCGAGTTTTAGACTTTACATGTTAGCACTTAGAGAGAGATGTCTCTATATGGCTTGGGAAAGAAGCAGGACTTTGCAATGGAGGAAGGGTGGTGGGGAGTGTACTTGGGTGAAGGTGATAATTGTGCAGAAATGTTTAGGTAATTTGGAGGTAGAACTGATAGCTTGCTGGTGGATCAGATGTAGACACTGAGGAAAAGAGAGGAGTGGAGAGAGGAGAGGTCAGGACTTAGCTCTCTCCATGGCCATGGTAGGGTATGCTGCTGTGCACACTCATGGAGGGTGCCATGTTGCCAGTTGGCATTGTTTACCTGGCATTCTTAGTGGGCGGAGAGCTGGAGATTTAGGCTATATTTAGGCTGCCTGGTTCATATAATACAACTGCATCTTCCATATCCTTATAAGAAATATCAATAAAGCAAATAAACAACTGGGATTAGTGGAAAGTTTTTAAATCCAAAAACCTTTAAAAACCAAACCTACTCCTTTTCCCTAATCTCAATGATTAAACAGTTTTTATAGAAATTAAATTACAAGATCATATTTTATTCCCTTCATGGTCATAGTACTTATAAAATAGAGTTGGGGTCGGGTAGCAATGTCAGAGTGGGTACTTTGCTTTAGTACTTTGCACTGTTATATTTTTACTAAAGAGATAGGAATATTAGAGTCTGAGCTAGGCATGGTGCTACATACCTGAAATGCCAGCACTTGGCAGGCTGAGACAAGAGGATTTCAAGTTCAAGGCCAGCCTGGGATACATAAGAAAATCTAGGCTTGCCTCAGCTATATAGTGAGACCTGGGTTCAATCTCTAACACCCTTTAAAAAGAAAAGGACTATTGAAATCTGTTCTATCAGTAAAATATGCTTATATAAATTCACTTATTTATTCATTCAATGTATAAACCTGACCATATGTTTGGCATTATTCTAGGTGGCAAGGATATGATAGCAATCATCAGAATCTATGAAAATCCTCCTTTGCATTCTAGAAGAAGATATGCCCTCTTCAAGAAAATGGACATGTGAAGTGTGTCCTCATCTGTCAGCTCCAGTCTGAGCAGGCCTCGGGTTTCCTGGTTCATTCTGTTTCCTGATCCTTTCCCTATTCTGCACAGCAGCATTTTCAGACTATCTTCCCTCTTGTCTCTAAAACCTTGATCTTTCTGCTGTGTCACATGACTGCCTTACAGATCACTCAGACTTAAACAACTAGAACCCAGCTCCACATTGCTCTTCTCTGGGTCCTCCCTTCCCCTGGCTTCCATCTCGGGGGATGCCCCAGCACTGATCCCTTGTTCAGAACGCAGGCTGTGTCATCCTTGGTTGACCTTCTCTCTCAGTCCTCATTCCCACCCCATTCAGTCACTTTGATTTGTCAGTTCTGTTTCCTAAATCTTTTTTACGTCCATCCATATCTTTTCTGTGTATGCCACAGTGATACACGCCACCAGCTTTACATTCCTAACTGTAACTGTTGCTTCACTGGCTTCCCTTCTTGCCTTTCCTAACCTACTCCAGCCAGAGTGATTTTCCAAAAATACCACATCACTCCTCCACCTCAGCGTAGACAGTTCACTGCTGTGAGGAAAAAGCCCAGGCCCATGACCACACTTGTGGTCTGTCACATGGCCCTGCAAATCCTTCCAGGCCAGGGGTCAGCAGCTATGGTTTATTTGACCTTCTACTTTATTCATGTAGCCTACAAGTTAAGAATTGTTTGCAATGATAAATAGGCTAACATTTAAAATTTTTTCATTACATGAAAATTATATGAAATTGGAATTCTGGTGTCCATAAAGTGTACTGGAACACAGCCTGCTCATTGATTTGTCGTCAACGAGTGAGGTCACAGTACTGGAACTGTGACAGTCTGTATGATCCTTAGACCCTAAAATAATTATTCTACAGACTTCTGCATGATAAGTTTGCTGCGCACTGGCTACATTATGCATACCTGTCCTTGAGTCTCACCATCCCTAATCCCTACTGTTCTTTCCCGTCTGCAGGCCTTGGCGAACTTGTCATTTTGTCTGAACTCTCCCCCTGCACATCTTTAACTTGGCCCCTTATCAGTCAGATTCCAGCTCTAGCTTCATTTATGGGCAGAGCTGTCTTAGTAACCTGCAGTTTGAATAGGGTACCTGTGATTCCTTCCTGAGTCTCCTCACGTTCATGTCCTTACCCAAGCCAGACTCAGTGGCTGGTGGCAGCCATAGACACTTGGCTGAATCCCTGCTTCCTTTGTCCCCTGCTCTTTCCAGTGTTCTCTTACAGATCCCCAGCCTGGGTAAGGATGACTGTCACTCAGGTCCCAGGGGCGCAGTCCACAGTCCTACTCTACTGCCTCTGCTGCCTTAGATACATTACCACAGGCATAGCCCCTGGGCTGCCCTGCACCCTTGTGCCTTACTTTCTTATCACTCTTTGTCTTGCTGGTCTCTCCTGCCCTCCCTCCACTGCTCCCCTCACCCTCCACTAGTTTGTTCCTGGTTTCACTTGGAGAAGGGAAGCTGCTGGTTCTTCCTCATTCTCCTCTCAGGAGCTCTGCCTGCCTCTCTGCCTCAGCCTCTTCCCCTCACAGTGGAAGAGCTGCCCCGTAGGAGTGGCCATAGGAACCACTTCCTGGGGCCAGCCTGACCTTTTCATGGCAGCCTGAAGCTGACCCCTCCTCTTAACAAAGGCTCCTTCAGCCATTCTTCCTCGTTCCAGTCCTAACTTTTTGCTTCTTCTAAATCACCCTAGGCCTCATTTATTGTATTTCTTGCCCAGTCGTTGCTTTGTTGAACACTTAAGCGTGAGAGCTCTCTGGAGGCTCCCTTCCTGGACTGCAGGGCTCTGCGCAGGTTTACCTTCTCAGAGAAGTGTTAGGAAAAGAAGCTCTTACACACAAAATAAGCTTCTCCTCTGGCATGCTCTCCCCTTGTCCTGATATGTGGCACCACCCGAATTGAGTATCTGTTGGTTTGCTATTTTCCAGCAAATCCCTGATTTTGTATTTCTCTAGGTGGACTTCAGCAGCAACAACTTTATTTTAGTGCTGGTTTCCCTCATAGTGGAAAAGGCAGTTTGTCTGTCTGTATCTTTCACCAACAGTTGGAACTTTTTCCGTGAAGAGCCAGTAAAAAAGTATTTAAGGCTTTGTGGGGCAAATGGTCCTGTTGTAACTAGGAGACTCTCTACCACTATATTGTGAAAGCATCCCCTGACAATTTATAAACAAATGAACATGCCTTAAAATTGTTTACAAAGTAAGTGCTAGGCCAGAGTTAGCCCAAAGCGGTAGTTGCTGGTCCTTCCAGCAAACAGAACAAGGTGTCTTTTCTAAAAACTCTAGAAAGAGTAAGGGGTCTATATTTTCTAATGTTCCCAACAACTCCCTTTTTAGCTTGTTCTGAATTTTGTCTGAACACCTGTTAGCAAACCAACTTCTGTACTAAGTGGGGTGAGACTGTCTCATAGACGCAGAATACTCATGCCCTATTCAGAAGCTAGAGGTGACAAGAGCTTCCCAAAACTCCAGATGCTGTGTGGAACCAAATAATTACCAGAAGAAAACCAGACCAGTAAGGAGGAAGCTAGGGAAATGGGTGCTAGGTAGGCTCCCAAGTAAGGTGCATTCTGGTACATGCGTGTGCAACTCTTGTCCTCCTGTCATGCCCCTTGAGGTCAGGACCGGGCTGCTTTGTTAGTAGTGATCTCAGCTTGACCTCCACACAGGGCTTGGGTTCAGTTAAACTGCAGATGGTAAAAATCCTGTGCTCATGCAGATAAGCGTATTGTAAGGATTTAATGACATAAGTACATATGATCCTTTATTAGTAACAAATGGCAGGAAAAAATAGCCTTTGTAATATGATTCATTTAATTATTAATTAAATTGGTCAGTTAGCTCAGTTGGTTAGAGTGTGGTACTAATAATTACTGATTAAACCTTCTAGTTATTGAGGATTAAATTGAATTTTTTCTTTCTTTAACATAAGGTTCATAAAAAGGATTCTGGTTTTTGGCGAGATTTTGGCTTTGGGATGACTTGTCAGTATCAATCAGATTTCCTGACGATTGGTAGGTATATCTTCCATTTAAGGGTAGAATTTTCTGTCTTTACTCAAGGCTTTATGGCATTTTCCTAAAAGGTATCAGATTTGAGCAATGTTTGTTAAATTGTGAAGGGTTATCTCTGGAAATATGAAAAGTAAAGTGAGTTTATAATGTCTTTGGTAACAAAATTATAAAGATAAAATCTGTACTTGTCATTTTCTTTAAAAATCAGAAAAACCACTTTTTAAAAAACATTTGACACGTTTCTGTATTTCAGTTGTTTGGAGTACTCTTACAAAGTTTTCTAGAACTTTACTGTTACTAGCTTATTACAGCTACAAACAATCTTGGATTATCTAGTTAAAGGCCTTTTTTTGTTTAGAGATGAAACCCTTTTTAGTTTCATGTTTGACTGCTGTGTAGAATCCCAGTATTTAAGATGTGGGAAAAGAACTGTTCTTTCTCTGAAATGGGAACTAGATAGTTAGAGTCACTATGCTTGAAGTTCACCCTCTTACCCACAGAAACTAAAGTGTTAAAGAGTAGTTAGCAAAGGGGTGAAATTGAAAGCCATGTCTCCAGATTCATTTAGTGGCTCCATTTCCACAACATAATAGAATTCATAGAATGTGTTTTATAAATATTCTAGGTCTACATTAAATTCACTTTTCTAATTATCCATTTGTCTTATAAATCCTTTTACTTTGTCTCTTTTTCACTATAATACTTGGATAATGGAAAAACCCTAAATAATGATTAAAAACTAGTGCCATTTTCCCTGATGTTTTTTATTTAATAAAATAGTAAACATTTGGGACTGGAGAGATTAAGCAATTAAGAGCACTGGCTGTTCTTGCAGAAGACCCGAGTTCGAATCCCAGTACCCACATAGCAGCTAACAGCTGTCCATAACTCCAGTTCCAGGGGATCTGACAGCCTCTTCTGACCTCCACGGGCATTGCACAACACGGGTGCACTTAACCTGCACTCAGGCAATACACATATACACATAAAATAAAAATAATAAATATTTTTTAAAAGAATAAACATTCACCATCTTTCAAACACAGGTTAGCAATATTGGGACTGTTTTGAATAATGATATGATGACTTCTAGATCACATGTCAATTTTAAATGTACGGTACCCAAGTTACACAGCTATCACTATGCAATTTAGAATATTCTCACCCTAAAAAGAACCCGTAGCAATCACTCCTCATTTCCTACCAACTCCCTCCCTCCCAAACCCACTAATCTGCTTCCTATTGATTTGGCCTCTTCTGGGCACTTACTATGTTGCAGTTGCACGTCATGTGGTCTTTCATTACTGATTTCTTTTGCTCATGATGTTTCCAGGGTCCATATGGTATCAGGTACTTCATTCCTCTATAGCCAAAGAATGTTCCGTTGCATGGTTCCCCCACATTTTGTCTGTCTGTAGATATTTAGGTTCTTCCGTTTGAGATATTATGAATATTGCTACTGTGAACATTTGAGCATTTGTGCATACACCTTTGTGTAGACATAGGTCTTTAGTTCTCCTTCCTGCATAGTAGCTTGCTGGGTTATATGGTATGATGGTCAATCTTGATGGGACTTAGAATTTCCATGGAAACAAATCTCCAGGTATGTCTGTGAAGGATTGTCTAGACTGGATTAATTCAAATGTGGACAGTACCATTCCCTGGGCTTGGGTTCTGGACCAAATAAAAAGGACAAAGCAAGGTGAGCACAAGCATCCATGGCTCTCTGCTTCCCAACTGTGAGTGCAGTAACCTGGCTGCCCCATGCCCCTGCCTCCTGCCTTCCCTGCTGTGATGGACTGTAAGCCAGAATAAACCCTTAAATTGAGTCATACCAGGTATTGGTCACAAGGAGAAAAATGGTATATAAAAAAACTATGTTTAACCTTTTCAGGAATTGGCATGGTTCTTTTCCAAAATGACTGTATTGCTTTACAATAGAGTGGGTATGTTGAGGGCTTTGATATTTTTGGGTTGGGGGAGTTTAAGACAGTGATTAGGTCTCTATTTTAGTGAGCCTGTGACCTGTGCTGTGAACTTAACACTTCCTTATTCCGGCTGCTCCTTCTGGACGGAGTGGCTGGGGGAGATGGAGCTGGGTGTTTCCCTTAATTCAGGTCAGCTCTAATTTAAAACAAAACCAAAAACAAAACACAACAGTAGGAGATTAGTTCTCTTGAGGTCAGCCTTGTAAAAACTGATGCACTGGTGTGTTTCAGAGTTGCCCCCCCCTTCTAGAAACTGAAGGTGATTTTTCTCTGACCTTCACTATGAGACTCTGGTAGAGCTCCTAGAGGTAAAACTCAGAAGTGAGGATTCCCTTGTGGCTAGGCCCCCTTAAGAGTTTCTAACTCTTGATCCTGTCTACACTGATTCTCTAGCAATTCAAGAATCATAGGTTTTCCTGTCCAGTACCGGATCCTGAAGAGGTTTCTTTGCAGTGACTAGTGTGTCTTTGTGTCTGCCTCTCTCCAGTTTTCTGAGCAGTTTCACTCTGTGCCCTTACTTCTCTGAAGGATCTAAGGGGAATGGTTGGCTTTTCAGTTTGTTCAGCTTCGTACTGTTAGGACTGGGGAGTGACTTCCAAAAAAGGCCACAGTTAAAAAGTTCTGCATTTATTTTAAGCATCTCTGCTATCTTTAATATTTGGATATTATTCATATTTATAAGGAAGAAAAGCTGAGTTGCATCACACTTAGTACTTAGTAAAGCTATGACTGTTTAAAGCTGTACTTTGCAGAGAGCTTAGGACTCTTGTCCATCTTTGAATATGAGATTAAATTGGATGGAATTATTTGAAAGGAAACATAATTATTGAGTTTCTGTTCTTAAGACTTTACTGAGTGTTTAGAGTTGTTTAGAGCACGTCAAGCACTCGGTGTTCTCCGTGCCCCTTTAAAAAGTTGGTTGTTTAGCTTGAATAGCTATGCTTACTCAGCTATGCTTCTCATTCCGTTGTCATCCACTACAGCTAGTCTCAACCCGTTATTCCATAGGAATTGTGCTAGTAAGATTATAGGTAGCATTTATATTGCCACATCCATTGGTTCTGCTTTTTTCCTTCAGTGCTGGGGACTGGATCCACTGCATCCCTCTGCCCAGCCCTTGGTTTTTTGAGACAGGGTCTTGCCATGTAGCTCAGGCTGGCCTCAAAATTGAGATCCCCTTGCCTCTGTCTCATGACTGCTGGGATTCTGTGTGTGTACTAGCGTGCCCAGCGTTCTTTGGTTCTTTTTTATTCTTAATTGAGTAGTTCACACCTGACAATTTCCTCTTCAAAGAACTGTCTTCAGCTGGTGACTGTCTTGGCACCTTTTCCAGAGTTTTCTCCCCTGCCTTGAGTTTGCTTCTCAGACTCTTGCTGATTTACATTTCTCTGCCTGTGCTTAACCTCTAAAATTTCTTAGTATTTAAATCTTTAGTTTCTTCTGGACTCCTTCAGGAATCCCGTTGGTTACTGTGTCTTTAAGTCATCTGTGTGCCCTGTGTTAAGTTTATACCTCCAGTCTGGCCTTTTCTTCCATTTTATGCTCTGGAAAGTTATCTGTAACCCAGAAAATCTTGATTCTTGAAGGATAGAAATATATATATATTTTTTTTCTTTTATTGAACTTTCTATAGCACTTAGAATGTGTTCTCAAATATTTATCATAATAGTGATGCATTTAACAACTGAGGCTGAACTCCCAGAGTCTCAGTGTCAGCAGGTACTACGTTTCCAAGCCAGGAGGTCATGGTGCTGTGTGCCGTACCATGCCATCTCATTTGAAGCAGAACATTTAATATTAGGCTTATGCTCTGATTCTCAGACTCTTACAGTGTCAATTTTTATCCTACAGGTGGATTTGACATGGAAGTAAAAGGTTGGGGTGGAGAAGATGTTCATCTTTACCGAAAGTACCTACATGGTGACCTTATTGTGGTTCGGACTCCAGTTCCTGGCCTTTTCCACCTCTGGCATGAGAAACACTGTGCGGACGAGCTGACCCCTGAGCAGTACCGAATGTGCATCCAGTCCAAAGCCATGAATGAGGCTTCCCACTCCCACCTGGGAATGATGGTCTTCAGGGAGGAAATAGAGACACATCTTCGGAAACAGGCGTATAGGACAAACAGTGAAGCTGCTGCCTGACGTAGCCATCAGCACATAACAGTCTGAACCACAAACCAGCACTATTTATTTAGCCTTAATTCTAATTCCAGATGCTGTGCCTCTTCTGGAGAAGAAATGTTTATTTTTCATGTTCTTTCTGACATTACTTTGCAGTTTAAACTGCTATAAGAAGGAAAAACAAACAAACAAAAAAACAAACAAACAAAAAAACAAACAAACAAAAAAACGGTGGTTTGATGCCAAGCTTCTGCTTTGCGAGAATACTATAGTATGATCAGTTGACAAAACGAAATTTGATATTTGCCTCCAAAATAGTTTCGAGTTAGAGTCTGCCTGGTGCCCATGTTCTGACTGGATTGGATATGTGCTAGGCTGATGTTAGGTCAGTCAGCACATTCCCATAGGGAAGCAAAGTACTGGTTGGTCATGATGTACAGGCAGGTACTTTCACCTGCTACCATTGAGCCATTTGCTTCATTTCTAAACGAAAGCTGCTTTGGGGTGTAGGGGATGGGAGGAGTGAGACAGGGTCTCATTATGTAGCTCTGGCTGACCTAGAACTTGTCATATAGACCAGGCTAGCCTCTAACTCACAAAATCTACCTGCTTCTCCTCCCAAATGCATGTGTCACCATGCTGAGCAAGAACTTTGATGGCTAACATGTAGAATACTTTTTCACTGAAACAGGAGATAATTAAATGACAAAGCTAAAATCTCTAGTCCATCAAGAAGGCAGCAATCAGCTGAGCACACACCTTTAGGCCCAGCACTCGGGAGGCAGAGGCAGGTGGATCTCGGTGAGTTCAAGGCCAGCCTGATCTACATAGTGAGTTCAGGCCAGCTGGGACTACAGGGAGACCCTGTCTCAAAAAGACCAA